TTATGCCATCCACCCTTTTATTCTTTTCACCTTTTTCCAAAACCTCTTAAATAAACTCGGACCATTTCTCGATTTCTGCATGTGTCGTTCTCCTCCAGATAGCACTTTTCTCTGTATTGTCCCAATTTTTCAACGGCTGTGATGTCCCGATGCACCACCATCACCCATCCTCTCTCTCTCTCTCACCACCCAGGTTCAGGCCCATCGCCGCTAGTTGGGGATCCATGACTCCGCCCTTTCGCCTTCCTTGCTCGTTCCTCTCCCTCTCTCTCTCTCTCCTCCCTCCCCTCCCCTCCCTCCCGCATCTCCTCATGTCGCCAATCCAATCCATTATTTGGGGTGATACTACTCTCCATCTCCTTCTCTACACGCCTGTCTCCCTTGCCTTTGTGTCGATCCTTTCCAGTCGGGTTCCCATCGGCCTAATCGTACCTTTTCTTTTTTCTTTCTTTTTTTTCGTCACATCTAACATGACTTCATTCATTCTGAGTTTGATTTTCTATCAATCAAGTCGTTTCCAACTCATCGCGTTTCGAACTAATGGTGCCACGTGGCTTACTACACGTACTACAGGTGTAAGACATTCAGCCACGTGATTATCTCTATGCATCCTATCAACAAGAAGAAGAAGAAGAAGAAGAAGAAGAAGAAGAAGAAGAGGAAGAAGAAGAAGAAGAAGAAGAGGAAGAAGAAGAAGAAGAGGAAGAAGAAGAAGAAGAAGAAGAGAAAGAAGAGGAAGAAGAAGAAGAAGAAGAAGAAGAAGAAGAAGAAGAGTGAAAACAGGGGACAACTGCCTTTCGTACACGCTTCAAGGTATCTTTCAAGGCATAGCCGCGCATACTGGTCTCAGCTTACGGCGGTCAAACTGCTTTCAGTACATGCTTCTCAAGCCTTACATTCGAGAACCGCAGGTACAACTTAAAAAAGAAAAAGAAGAAGAAGAAGAAGAAGAAGAAGAAGAAGAAGAAGAGTGATACGCAAGAGGCCATAGACTGTCTTTCGTGCACGCTTTGACAAAAAAAAAAAAACCATACACATCCACATGCACTGAGCTCAAAAGAAACGCGCGCATTGCCCTAAATTCATGTTTCAGCCAGGAAGAGCATCTGGCATTCACCAGGGACCTTCTCCCAGGATCCGCCTTACGGCAGCAAGAAGAAGAAGAAGAAGAAGAAGAAGAATTGCATTTTTCGTCCATGATTGATTCGATCTCAAGAATCGAACACGCGACCTCCCTCGTGGGAGTGGCACGCTCAACCAAACGGCTAAGCTGAAAAAGAAGAAGAAGAAGAAGAAGAAGAGAATAGGAGGTAGAGAGCAAATGACCACACACGCTGTGCGATTGCAGAGGGGGGATAAATAGACCTCAGCTTTGCAACATCCTCCCTTTTCTCCCCTTCCGTTCCGTTTAGGGTCTCCTATTCCGTTACTCACCGTCAGCCACTCACTTCACTTTTCCCCCCCAATAGCTCAACCGTGCTGCTCTCCGACGATCGATTCTGGGCGTCAATGGTTAGCTGCACCCTCTGTTAACGCAAATCGAGGGGACGTGGACTCCTTCCACACCGTCCCGCCTCGTCTCGGTTCGGTCCCGCCCCATCCCATGTCCATCTCCCAAGGTCCCAACGACACAAAAAACGCGCCGTGCTGCAACGACATTGCATACATGGAGAAGCGGTCCACCAAAAAAAAAAAAAAAAAAAAAAAAACGCCCCCGGCCGTTTTCCGGTCCCACGGGATTCACGGGTCCCGCGGGACAACGTGACGCGAGACCCGCGAATTTCTTCATACCTCTTCTTAGTAGTTATTATATACACATGTAAATGTAATGTACATGTAAAATAGTTTTATTTGTCGATATATTTATATATATAAATTGTCACAGCGATGTCAGAGCGCAAAAAAGACAAAAAAAAATCATCTTTTATCTTCTAGTCACAAAGTTATGACTATACACATAGATGTGTCCACAAGAAGCGGGCAGCCGCGGCTTTAGTCACAGCAGCTGTGGGCCGTAGGGTTGAGGCGAAGAGCGGGCAGAGAGAGGATTCAGGTCGAGTGGATGTGTGCGCTTTTCTTTGTTTCTTTTTTCGCAAGCATTGATCCCCGATGTGATATCATTTGTGTTGTCATGTTCTATGTATCACAACTCCACAAAAGACAAGCATGACTGTGCCAGACTGTCTCGTCGTCGGACTTTCACCGACTCATCATCAAGAGGTTGAACCCCGACAGTCTGCCCTGGATGCATTTGACTGATGGACGGATAAGGACTCACGACGTGCTGAGGGTGTTTTCGATTCAGGGCATTCTGGAACTAGCACGTTCCGAAATGCATCTGACTGCAATTACGGTGAGACCTGGATGAATCTGACTGCAATCACGTCCACAGCTTTCTAAAAAAGTCCTAGAGTGAGTATGGCCTTATTAGCTGATGTGAGCAACAGCAGACGATCTCTATAGTCGCTTGCTTGAGACCGTGTTCCCGCTCAAGTTCGTGTGTGATTGAGAAAGAGAGAGAGAAAGGGAGAGAGAGAGAGAGAGGAGAGACAGGGAGGGAGAGAGAGGGAGGGAGAGAGAGGGAGGAGGGAGATAGGGTGTATCTGTCTGTGTTTGGCTTTAGTTTCGCGGGTCGCAGGAAGAGTTCTTCCTCCTCCCCCCCCCCACCATCTTTCGCGTGTTGGTTCCTGATCTGATTTATGTGCATGTACATGTCTGTATTTTCGGGTACAGTTCATATCTGCCAGGCCACAATCTTCAAGGTTCATGTACGGCAGTTCATGGGTGGCAGTTCACGTATGACAGGACACACAGTTGAGCAGATGTCTGGATTGATTTCGAGTGTGGCAGGGAGAGTTCCCATACAGAACGACCATAGATGAGGGCGAGTGACAGACAGACAAAGACAACGGGAAATCGTGTGTGGTTTTGGATGTTGGTTCGTGCGAGGGAGGAAGCGATCAGGCAGGAAAAGGTCGACAGATGATAATCGCATTCATATCGTGCTTGTCAGCAAGCATTCGTCGCAGAGAAAGAAAGGGAGGAAGGCAGGAAGGGAGGAGGGAGAGGGGACGGAGGACGAGAGAGAGAAAGGAGAAAGAGAGAGAAAGAGAGAGAAAGAGAAAAGGAGGGAAGGAGGGAAGGAGGAAAAGCGAGTGCATCTGTGTGATTTCTGGTTGAAAGCGAGCGTGATAGGAGCAGATTCAATAGGGAGAGAGACAGAGGGAGGTAGGAAGGCAAGGGGGAAGGGAGGGAGGGAGGAAAATGTGTTTTTTGACTGAAACAGGAAACAATCCTACAGGTTGTTTTTCGAGTGTGGCAGGAAGTGATCGGACGGACAACTATGCGACCAGGGGATGAGGGAGGCAGGGGGAGAGAGAGAGAGAGAGAGAGAGAGAGAGAGAGAGAGAGAGAGAGAGAGAGAGAGAGAGAGAGAGAGAGAGAGAGAGAGAGAGTGGGAGAAGGGGGAGGGGAGGAAGCGTGGGGCGTGCGAGGGAGGGAGGGACGAAAAGGGACGGTAGTTCATCGCCATCGGCTTATTTCTTCGTGGAAGCAACAGATCGGTGAGCGAACGATAGCGGATCGACAGGGCTTCCTCTGGAGAGAGGTGACAGGACAGGTACAAAGAAAGGGAGAAGGTAGTGGCCGAAGAAAAGGATTCGAGCAAATCGAGGAAAGAGGAGGGGGGAAGGGGGGCCGGAAACCGAAAAAGAGACAGACAGACACAAAGGCACAGACACAGAGAGAGAGAGAGAGAGAGAGAGAGAGAGAGAGAGAGAGAGAGAGAGAGAGAGAGAGAGAGAGAGAGAGAGATTCGTAGTGCCTGGGTGTGCGAAGGTGTACGGGAGGGAGAAGTGGGGACGTCGGTTGAGGAGGTGAGGGTCCCGATCGAAGGGGATCAGCACAAGACGGAAGTGGAAAAGTGGGTGGAGAGAGTGGCAAAGGTAAAGGGCATTGTGATCAATCAGAGTCAGCCGGAGGAGGAAGCACTCGAGAGAAATCACAGAGCAGGGAGAAGGTGGGAGGGGAAGGGGCAGCGGTCCATCAGCCAACAGTCCTGAAGATAGCCATGGGTAGCAGATAGAAAAAGCGAACGAGGAGTTCGACCGGCATCACGACGAGAGAGAGAGAGAGAGAGAGAGAGAGAGAGAGAGAGAGAGAGAGAGAGAGAGAGAGAGAGATTCGTAGTGCCTGGGTGCTGTCTCTTATACACATCTAGATGTGTATAAGATCTCTCTCTCACTCTTCTCGCATAGTCTGCAGATGCAGTGAAGTCAGATAAGGAGAGGGTGAGAGGAAGACGGTGGACTGAGAAGAGGAAGAAGANAGAGAGAGAGAGGGAGAGAGATTATTAACCTTCATCCGCCATGAGCTTAGGTCATACGTGGCAAGAACAGATCCAACAGGATAGGACAGCGCAGCAGGCAGTCTCCTCGATTACGCAGCATCGAATTTGGTGCCGCGCTGCGACGGGTGCAGCCAAGCAGGGTCGGGGTCCCACCTGAAACCTTTGGTCCTCCGGTGCAAGCAGACCAAGCATGGCCGGGTCCAACCCGAAACTTTTGGTCCCCGGGCGCAATCGGTTCCAAGCAGGCCCGAGGTCCCACGCGAAACTTTGGGTACCGCGCGCGCACGGTTCAACCACGTGGGCATGTGTAACAACCACTTGCGCTCGGGGCACAACACAAACCAACCGGTTCGGCCGCGCCAGACGTAGCGTCGCACAAACCAACGTACGGGCCACTACAGGAGCGCCCAAATTCATCCAACTAGAAACGTTTCTACTCTATTTTTTTCCGCAGCCGATAGCTGGGCCAAGTACTGGTGGTTCAAAAAAGGTCAGGATGTTCCACGGCCCATCCGACGCTGAGGTAGCGTCCTAGTTCTCACCTATCACCCATGGGCCACACCTACTCTACAGATACGCTAGTGGGACCCAACGCTGGCAAACCGTGTGAGTATGCTCTAACCTGAATATTCCATGTTGAGGATGACAGTGAAAAAAAAGGAAACAATGGCAGGCACGGAAGGTTTTGAGTTCGCAAAGGCAAAAAAAAATCAGAAGCCTGGCGCCGACTTGGAAACGGCAATTTGGGTAGAGCAAAAAAAAATCAGGGGCCGGGTGTCATATTTATAGGGGTCGGCTGTTGTTGGGCATTTTATTTTATTTTTCTTACCCTATCTGAAACCACAGCCGACCCCTATAAAAATGACACCCAGCCTGGCACCATTGATGTTTCGAACTCGGTGCCTGTCTTTTTTGCCGGCGTCTTTTTTTTTTTTTTTTGCCGGCGTTTTTTTTTTTTTTTTTTTCCCTTATTTGGTACTCAAAAGTGACACGAAGGTACTTACCTCACAGGGGGAAAAAAAAAAAAAAACAAAAAAAAACAATGTGCCGACATACCTTTCTCCGCCTTCTCGCTAAGTAGAAACAGTTCTTTTCAGTTTAATATCCTTGCTGTTGTTTTCTCTTTCCTCCCCCCCAAAATGGCGAAGGCCTTAACGGGCCCGGGTAAACACAGGTCTGTCTATCATCAGTTATATGTCTGTCTCATTCAGCCATAGGTGCTGGGTACGTCGGTTTAATATCCCATCCCATCCGCAGTCAATTGCGAAGCAACAGAGGACAGCAGCCCAACAGCTGCTGCACTCACTCAGATCTTTTTCCTTTGGAAAGACGGCGGACGCGGCAGGTTTGAGTTCGTAAAGGGCGAAAAAAAAACCGCGCCAGCAAAGAAATCAAGGCGCGGACTTCAAAATGACAATTTCAGTCCAAATGCGCAATTTGGGCCATGGAATTCTTTCATTTCACAATAGCAAATTGCAAAATCATATTGAAAGTCAGGCCACGGGCGCCAAGCTTGCCCATGAAGATACATGAGGGCAATGGGGATTGAACCCACAACCTTCTCAATGCCACTCCCTAGCCAGTGACCACCGAGCTGTTGGGACCCTCAGAGAGTTTGTGCAACGCCTCTCACTTGTTTGATTAACGAGACGGAAAGAAAGAAAGAAAGGAAGAAAGAAAGAGGCAAGCCACTCACTTTTTTTTCCCCCCTACTATGCAGATGTCGCTCATGCGCGACGACCACGTGCAACTGCACCTGACCTGCAGGTGGTTGGGCTATACAGGCCAGGGGTCAGCCGGTAGCATGGCTATGCCTGTCCCTCCCCTCTGATCCCCTTCCCTGTGAACATCAGCAATCTCTGCTTAGTGCCACTCGGGAGAGCGAGCCCACAAAGATACATGAGGCCATTGGGGATTGAACCCCCAACGTTCTGAAGGCTACTTGCATGCCTTACCAACTGAGATAGGCGGCTGATCTGTATTCAACTACTCACATCCTCTTTGTGTGTGTGTGTGTGTGTGTGTGTGTGTGTGAGAGAGAGAGAGAGAGAGAGAGAGCGAGAGCGAGAGAGAGAGAGAGAGAGAGAGATGTGGCATGATAGCTTTCCGCATGGGGGGAAAACTCAGAACGTGAAGTTGGAAGATAAACAAAATGAATGGGCTATACCTCAGTCTAGCTGTGAAGTGACCAGTGTCTACAAAAAAGTGCCCCTTGTCAATTCGACAAGTTCTGCTTTCGCCTCGACGACTGTCTGAGACAGCTTTGCGACCAGTTGTCATTCTCTTGGAAGTTAGAAGGTCATTTCAAACTAGCAAATTGAAGTGACCTAGCAAGAGAATGACGACTGATCGCCTTTCTGCTGATAAATTCTTCAAGTTGCTCCTGCTATTCAGCCTAGGGCCTTGAGTATTGTACAAGGACGTGCTGTAGGAGTAGCTCATTACCTCCTAGGTGGAATTGCCACAACATGGGCATTCTTCCTAGCAAGAATTATTTCAGTAGCGTAAATTAATGGCTAGGAGGCGTTGAAAACTAATATGGCAACGAGAACGAGCAGTGGCACACATAGGTAAGTAATTTTTTTCGAATTGTAGAAGCACACAAGGAGCGATGGCTCAGTGGTAGAGCAATTGACTGCAGATCAATAGGTCCCCGGTTCGAACCCGGGTCGCTCCTTTCTTAAAATAATTTGCTCACGACTTATCCTTCCCCCTTTCTGTTTTCCACTCATTTTGTAAACTGTTGCCAAAAATGGACAGAAGGAAGGATTGTGATAGTGGATGGTCCTTCTGCTAGGTACCCTGCATCTGACCTGAACAAGTAAGTGAACATCTTCTTTTTTTTTTTTTTTTTTTTTTTTTTTGTGGAAAGGGAGGGGTGGGGGG